TGCCTCGATAAATACTCAAGGAAGTTCTTCTTCTCGAAGAATATTATCGTAATTCGTAAGAACTTTACTCCCACCAGAAACTAACGCTGATTCCCGCCTTCAAGCCACGGACATAATGCCACCACCCAATGGGAATATACAAGCACTCGCCTTCCCTGAGAACTGTTTCGACATATTCCGCCTGCATAAAGCCGGGCCATATGGCGTCCCATTGCTCGGACTCGGCCGGGGAGAGTTCAATGGCTGCGAGGTCGACCTGTGACGTATTGGACATATCTATGAGGCGTGGCTCGCTGGCTTTTCCTTCACCACCATGGGTTTGACCATCTCTGCCCTCAGAAGACGACGAATGAACAGCTTCCATTCCCTTCGGATAGATCTGGGACGTAGGTGTCCGGGGAGAGTAGAGGCGGACATACTTAGCGCCCACGACCTGAACCAGGATGTTATGGTAGGGGTCATGGTGGAGAGGCGATATAGTCCAGGAAGGGCCGATCCAGGTATTAATGATCGGATCGGCAGGGAGGCCCCGCTCCGAAGCCGAGCAATCTGACGCATTGTCATTGTCATTGTGGGAGCTATCCTGCCCCGTACGACTAGTAGATGTCGCCTGTGAACCCATTTCCTTGAGTTTCGCTTCTTGCGCCTGCTTTTTCTTCAAGTACACTGGCGTCCCGGGTTCCGGCCCCGGTGGATCAATGTAACAATAATCAGGAACACAGATATCCTTTCGCAAGGCTGGAATCTGCGCTAATAGGTCGTGCTGCGCCAGGTAACCAGTAAGGTCTTCTTCGACTCCGTCTTGGCCGAATTCACCGTCAGATTGTTTCGAAAACTGCATCTGCCCACGCCAGATATAGCGGTCGACGAATTCCCCGAACTGCATAATCCGCTGGCCCCAGCCCTCGTCTGTATATGATCTCCCGATTTCCACTGGAACAAGTCTCCGGCCCCCAAAAGTGCGATCAAACCAATAATCTTTCGAGGCCCACGGTCTAGTCGACATCGCCGGCCAATGCTCCACCGCGTCGGTAATAACCAGCGGAGTCCTGACATGGCGGATATGACGTTCGATTGAGTCGAAGGACGGTGCCGAGATGCGAGGTATGGGATTCTTCAGCCCGGGGCCGGGAATAGCATCTGGTAAAAACAGCGGAGGCGAGAGTTTTCTGCGTTTGGCGGCTCGGTCGTCGTCACCACCCTGAGAGTATTCGGGGTCGGCCGTTCCCTTTCTATAGGAGGTAGTGGCATTCTGGAGTGCATCAAGAAGGGATTCAATAAGCGACTCGCGTAGGGGGGCACCGGTCATAATCAAGGCTTTGTCGAGAATGTGAACAGTCGGGGACAACCACGGCGCATCGGGAGGTATTTTCAGCGTCTCCTCCTTTTCGCTACTCGGATTGTTGTTTATATAGCCAAACAAGTGAGAGCCAAGTGATGTATTGTGCATTACACCCTCTTTATGCGAGTTTTCTTCGCGTGGAAACCCAATGTTGTTGCATATGCTGAGACATGCTTTGACGATACTCGCGTCCGTGTATAGGCGTCGCCAACATGTTTCAACATCTTTGAATGGGAAAACGCGTAGGTTCGCGTCGGCAAGCTCCAGAGCCTTATCTGGAGTGTCTAATATAAGTTCCCGATGAGCTTTGAGGTCGTGACTGAGGCATTCGTGGATGGGGTCGTCGGAGGCTGGATCTGCGATGGCGGAGAGCGCGACAGTAATGAGTTGTTGGAGGAGGACCATTGTCTCTTAGGTGAGAGAAAATCCAGAAAAAGGCTCGGTTTAGAGTTGTTACCAGAAACGCTAATGCATATATGAGACCATAGATGGGAATGAGGTTTTTTCACATGTTGTTGCTGTTGTTGCTGTTGTTGTTATCTTTGCGAACACTTTTTTTTTTTACTTCACTCTTAATTTATCGCAACGTCATGCGGGGATTACAGTTTCTTTAGGTCCGACACAACATAACAAAGACTAAAACGCAACACATTATTATATAAAAATTTGGGTGAAGGCTTTGGGTATCTACCACGTGAATAATATACAAGGATCCAATAAATACAATGACCGAATTTGCCATATCGCAGGATAGTAAAATTAGCCCAGCTGCGTTTGCAGACCATGTACACAGGAGATGTATAAAACCGGCTCATTGCAGGAACTCCATGATGAGTTTAGGAATGCGTTCGACTCCCTCTCCCCTCATAGCGCTCACAGGAACAGCGTGTAGCTTCTCCCTCCAACCATCGGGGTTGCCTCCGGGATGCTCAACCTGGGCCTTCTCTACAGCGGAAAGATAGTCCCTTAGTATCTTGTACTGTTCTTGGGTCTCTGGCAGATCAGCCTTGGTAGCAACAACGAACCAAGGTTTCGTGTGGATAGGGGGGAGGGTGAGATCGGGAAGCTCAGATTTGTTCATGATCTCATGGGTTTCAGACTGAAGCTCAGGCAGACCATGCGTGGGTGGAATCCATGTTGAAGAGTCGTCGAACTTCAAAGACGGTTCCGCATCACGTACCCGCTCGTATTCGCCAAGTTCATGCCACAGATTCTTGAGTCCTTGTATGGGATCCCCAGCGCTAAGGTCCACTACAAAAGCCAAAATGCCTGCTCGTTCGATATGTCGCAGGAACCCTAGACCCAGACCACGGTCAAGATGCGCGTTCTCAACCAAGCCAGGAATGTCGGCAATAGTAAAGCTAGTCCGCCGGGCCTTTCCCTTGGATTCCACCAGCGGCCTTCCTTTATGATCATCAATAACGACCGTTCCGATATTTGGCGAAAGGGTGGTAAATTCCCAGTTTCCAATCCGCGTACGACTGTTGGTCAGCGACCGGAGTAGCGTACTTTTTCCAGCGTTAGGTTTTCCAACCAGGCCAACATCGGCGAGCAGCTTCAATTCAAATTCTAGCTCCAGGCGCATACCCCCTTCTCCTCTAGAGGCAAAATTCGGGCGAGTAATCGAACGGGACACCCAATGCGGATTTCCCAAACCCCCTACACCACCGGCAGCAAGCAAGATAGGTTTGTCCATATGATGCGACAGATCAAGATGAATTGGTGCTTTCGGTTCCAGGGCGGCGATAGCCTGTCTCCTAGGTGGGTTCCTTGGGAATACCGTCGTCAAGAAATCTGAGGGATTTGCTCCAGGGTAAAGTACCCATCGGTCACGGCGAATAGACGGCAGCCCAATCTCATCTAGCTCCTCCACTGTCGCAGCTCGCTGTCGTTTCCGAAGGGCCAGTTCCTCAGCAACTGGATCATATCTACTCACTTCACGCACCACAGTCCCCACGGGCACCTGTATAAGAACATCGTCGCCTCGTTTGCCACCTTTGCTTTTACCCTGTCCATTTTTCCCTCGAGCAGCTTTTATGACCCCCCTGCGCGCAAGCTTATGTAGACTCGTGAGACCTTCAATGGCCTGGATGTAGATACCTCCACCACTGCCGCCGTCGCCGCCATTCGGCGGGCCTTCCTCAATATATTTTTCTCGGAGAAACGAGACGCATCCATTACCACCAGAGCCCGCATACATCACCGAGCGGCATTTATCCTGGAAAATGAATCGAGAATAGTCTTCGGGTGAGGGGTTTAGGTGCGAATGTTCGGAAGGCTGGTCGAGGGAGGTGGGTTGGTCTGCTGGTGGTAAGGGTTCAGTCTCTGTGCTGTACTGTCGATAGCATTTCCGAAATAATCCTATCGATCCTTTCCTAGTGGTATGGAAATGAACAGTCTGTCGGACAAGAGGGTGAAGTGACCGAAATAAACATATTCGTTGTGTCGTCATTTTGGAATAAGAGCTGTGTCGCTCATCCTAGGGTGAACGATCCTTCAATACGAATCCGAGATATAAAGCCAATAATCAACTCAACAGCATTTTCCCTCTTTTTTTCTGAATTGCTCAGCACGTTGGCTTGAGTAATTGCGAAGAGAGTATATGATTGATGTTGTCATAGCTCTGATGGAGCTGGAGCAAACCTGCAGCACACGTGATCTTATCACGGATGATAACGGATATAGATTGATGCCCTAAATATTAGGCAATCACTGGATGTATACATGATATTATACATGATATCCATGGTCATAAAATTGATGATTGAAATTCGAATACGGTGTTTAAATTTTGGCTCAATTAATTATTGATCCAGGTCTGAAAGTCCTGTAAGTATCTCTAGTAGTTAAAGCCTTGTATTGTTATCCGAGGCTATGTGGAAGGTATATATTCTATCTCAAGGTATAATGATAATCAAAGCTCCGAAGTCCCTTGACAAATCTCGTTCAATATACAAGACGACAGGATATACTTCGCGAAGACAACAACCAATCACTATAGAAAAATTGATTCTTAAAGAGTGAGAACGCAACCAAATATCATGAAGTATGTAGGATTAGCTGACGGACCAGCATGCAAAATGGATCACGCATTTATAATACTTGTAAACACTCCACTGGCGCTTGACGGTGATCACAAGCTGCAAATACTGGACAAGGTACCCACTATGATAAAGAACCCAACTATGTATTCTGTATGAAACCTAGCCTGCAAGCTGGGAGGTTTTTCTGCACGATAATGGAACGGCTACCTTGTGAGATTGGAACCATTACTACACAGGAATATACACTATTCGCTTACATTCTCCGCTAGTTACCAATATTCTCGTATTTGGCAAATAGAGGCTCTCCCGCAGTTTTCGGCGAAAAAATTAGTTGGCGAGAAGCACGTCGTGTAAGGCTGACTAGCATTGCGGGACGAAGGACAAATTGTCGAGTACAGTAACATCACAAGGCAAATCTTAGGAGAGAACTAAGGCTGGTGGTAGTGATATGCCGTGCATCTAGGGAGAGGACAAATAACCCTCGTAGTCGTGGATACTAATAACGGACGCTTGCGAAGTCGGAGGGGACTCCGCATATCATTACTTTCAAGAACTAGTGTAGTGACCTACGCATACGCTATAAGTGAGATATTTACTCATCCCAAAGTAAGTGCTCTTAATAGAAATAAGCGCTGAAAGGGACTGAAAGTGGTTATAAGAATGTGGTTCTAGCAACAGCCCCCCTCGAGGTGATAGAGAGCTTGATCATTTGCTAGCCTGACAGCACACAGGAATAACACAAATATAGCGGAAGTTATCATAGGTCACTAGGATACGGAGTACTAATTGCTATGGTAACCTGAAAGAGTATGGCTATATTAAGAAGTATCTAGTAGATCCATGCTACCTGTACCGCATACCTTGTAGCAGCAATCAATTCCCAACACTAACAGATTACATTTAAGTAGCAAGCATGACGCCCTCGTCAGCGAACTCCTAATAATACCATTGTCACATCAGTCCCCAGCAATTAATAATCGATAGATTGCGCAGTCGACATGTCACATAGTGATATACGACTAGTGGGGGACACTAAGAGAGGAGTGGCGCCAATAGTATGATTGAATCCTTCACGACGGAATAGATTAGACTTTCTAATCCAAGATCGATATGTGTAGTTCCTGGCGGAATAACAAGGATATTCCCAGTAATCAAGAGATCATCTACTGATAATTCGCTCTTCATTGAAGTGATACTTTGAAAATGTGATCGTGACAGATCAAGTGAACCAATCAGTCTAGTCGGAGATGCTCTACCGACTGAGTTCCAGCTACTTGATAGTTTGGTAACATGTACATACTTACATGCATCTGGCTAGCCATCTTACGTTCTGTAAATTCGATCCATAGAGCTCAAGCTAAGGTTTGACCAAAGATTGGGAGGGCGGGGGGAAATGGTGAATACCTTCTGTCCGGAATTCGGGACATGAACTGCACATGACGAAAAACAATATCGAACTAAAGTCCAGACCATCATAGGAAGCCTGTACTTTTGACAGCCTCGGGGAGGCGAGACCATTCTGGGGCGGAGGATCGCCTTTAGCGTTTTTCTATGCGATCTGAGCTTACGCTAGTTTATCGACCGCTTCACTTGACTGATGCAAAAATAAATACTGATCGATACCATACACCGTTGTGGGGTCTGGGATTCTGGACCAGGAAATGTTTTTTCCTCTTTCCTTTCATTCATTAATTCATTCACTCTTTTTCCCCCAATTTTTTTCTTTCTTGACGTAGGTGGGGATTTCGGTTCTATACACACAGTTCATGGCTACCGGTACCCTGGTTTTAGGGCCTAGACTTACTACTGTCGAGGATTCATGATCACATGAGTCAGGAGCCCTTAAACAGTAAGGCAGCTTCGCAGAAGGAAAAAGAAACCTGTTTCAATGTTGTATAGTATTACTATGTGTGGCCTATTTGAATGCGTCATCACCGCAGGGATACCAACATACCTTGTTATGTATCCTGCCCCTCACGCCTGGAACACTTGGCAAGGCTTCCCTTCAGGGCCAACAATGCCAACGTAACGTTACCGTGGTTAAGAGGGATTAGGTGGTCAGCTAGAACACATTGGTGGAGAATCTCTGACCGATAAGAAGACGATTGACGGTAAGACCTATTGATGAAATGGCGGCGACCAGCTATAGGCTGTCTGACAACAATAGAAACGACAACGACACAAAAAGAAAAGAAATAAAAGAAAAAGGAAATAAGATCAATACATTGATTTTAGATTGCATGCATATCTGACAGCTGGGAAAAAAAACAAGTTTTGTTGAGGTCATCTAGGTTAAGGTTGATCTCTCCGTGCCCTGCAAAGCCCACGATAGGTCAATGGTACAGGCCAGAAATACCTAGCAATATCATAATTATTCTAGGAACTACTCTGTATAGGCCAGATCTTTTTTGTATACCCAGTACATATGGGATTCTTGGGCAGATATACAGGGCGTAAGACAGCATAGCATATATGAAGTGAAACAGGTTTGTGTGACATGGCAGGTATACTAGCTCTAGCCTAGACAAGCATCCAAGATGTTGGTGATAGAGGTCTGCCTATAATGTGGTCATTATGAGATAATGAACTTTGTGCCCGGCATGCATAAACCCATCCAGTTGGAATCCTTACTGTCTTTTTGTAGGCTCCACATATATGTACAGACGCGCATACTGTGTAAGCAACAAGGTCAGCCACCGTGACCGCTGATCAGTTTAGCCTCCTCCAAACAGGTCGTCAACGCATCTTGACCCTGCAAGTTGTCGTAGTATATGCACGATCTAGATTTTTGGGCGGTGACAGATCCAGTGATGTTAGACCAAAAGATATATCGACGACTATGCTTGGTAGGCAGGACGGCAGATAGTTCGCTGAACCTGCACGTGCCAATCGGACTTTAAAAGAAAAGAAAAGTATTGTTGGTTGTGTTGACACGGGTTAGCACATGATTTCCCTAGAGAAACAATCGAGAACATCGACATCAATGATGCTTGTATGCACGAAGGGCTTCACGACGCAAGGTGCTTGGAACCTTGGAGATACTGTACATACTACATGGGCATGTTCGCGAGACGGAAACAAGAGAAACAGCCGTTAAAAGAGCTGAGGTTCCGCAGTGGAGTCTACTTGTTCCACAATCGATCGGCTGATAGGTAGTTTGGAATACGGGAGTGATACAGCAGGAGAGAGAGAGAGCCCTGTCTCACAAGATCATGGCAGAGTAGTCCTAAAAAAAGGGGGAGGAGAGGGAACAAGTCAAAAATTTGGGAATTGATTTGAATTGAGTTGGTATTTTATTTATTTATTTTTACTTCCATTTTCATTTCATCTTTGTGAGACAGGGACAAGAAACTTTCAGGCTAAGACCGTACCCCTGGGGGATGATTGTTATCCGTCGCCGCGGCACCGGATCCTGCATTCCGGTGGAGAAATCTTTTAGTACAATGGGAGAGTGTTCCTAACTTTGTGTCTTCGCCACTGGGAGAATTTTGATAAGCATCCTAGACCGTACTTGGATAGTGAGACCCATATACTCCTATACGCACTGTGTATAAACCTTACTCAGGTCGTACGGTACTTTGCGCCTTTGTCGACCGCATTCTTTAGTATTTCCCCCGAATTAACTTTGGAGGTCCGAAAGTACCGGCCGAATTACTACAGCACACGGTATCAACAGATCCTTCGTTCCGATTATTTACTAGTTTAATCCGTAGAGCCGAGACAATTTGCCACGGGCTCAGTATTTCATACATATTCCCTACCCAGACATGTGGAGAACGGATACTTCGTTGTAATTCCGCGGATATAGTTGGGAAACTAGTACACATGCAGTTTTAACACAAGTTACTAGAAGCGGAAGTACGGCGTGGTCAGGACCTTTTTTTCGTTTCGTTCCCCGGAATTAGCTCGTGACGTCCCAGCAAATGAAACAAGTTGCGGACTCAATCAGCAATCTAGTGACCCAGAACCATGTTTCATATCGCGCTAAAATAGACATCAATTCGCAAAGTCAATGGCTTCATTGGCCCGGGGAATGGCATCCGGTTCCAGGCACAAAGCCGTGGATCTCTCATACCTACGCTGTACCTTTTTTGGTAGGTTGTACTTTGCACTGCCAGGTCGGAGGTAGTTCTGTGTAGCATAAAGTCTGATTCCGGTATACACTAGGCATTGTCAATCAATGTTTTGTTCCCCTTCACACGGTAGTATTGTTGACGTCAATCGTAACACAGACAGGGATGAATTAAACAAAGTTTTCTTCTCCCTCCTCCTTGTGTCTTCTGCGAATGACGATAATGTTGGATGTCTTATTCATATCGGGAAGAGCGAAAGAGGGGCTCTGATTGGAGGAGCGAACATTTAGGGGGTAAAAAAGGGACAATGGAAACCATTCCTTCAGGTCTCACTAAGAGGTCACAGAATTAGTATTACGTTGCGCTATACGAAGTCGTAGATGAATAGCTCCGGGATCAGCTCAGCCATTATGAATGGCTGACAAGACATCCCAGCTGAGGACCTTCATCTCCAAAACAAGAA